GCGGACTTTCTGTCAAAATCATTAATTATAACGGTAATGTAAAACAATTACAATGTCTCATCCATGAAGTTCATGTTGAAATCCTCTATCCACTAGTAGAATATCCCTGCTGAGAAGTAGTCTATATTAAAAAAAAAAAAAAGTAGATAAAAATGTTATGCTTCAAGTTTTAATAAGAAAAAAAACGTCGAGTTTGAAGCTTCATCGAAGTCATCAAAAATTGGTGAAGCCACCACACAGGAAAACCTTAAGCAAAAACATGGTACGTAAATAGTGCGCACGTTTCACGTGCGGATACTAGGGTGTTGAGGACTAGCAAGGAGATGGCCAGTTGTTGGGACCCGAAAAACAGGAACGCGCTTCTGCAATCAAAAGATTTCTATGGGTGTCAATTGTGAATGTAGTGATTGAAAACACACAGTCTGGGTGCCTGGCAACAATATCGTCATGCCTCAGTTGTCTCCAGGGTTGAGCAAGGAAATATCTAGCATTGTCCTCAACTCACTTGGTGTCCCGATGTAAACCCGTGTGATTACAGGGCTTTTCGTATCCTAAAACAAGGCCTTAGTATGCAACCATATTCCACTAACAATTTACTTTAAAAAAAAGCCATGAATAGAGAAATTACATAGGGGAAAGCGAATGTTAAGTATATGATGGTGCAGAACACTAAACAAGAAGAAAGAGCAAGGAAGAATACCTCTAATTGATAACTGAAAATTATCATTCTCGCCCAACTAATTCGAGAGCTACTCCATCTCAAATCCTGCCGGGTTCGCCTGGAACAACCTAATAGAACCTGTTCCTGATAATGGATTTAGTTAGAGATCTATTTAATTAATTTATATTCGTTGTTAATGTAATGCGCCAATTACAAGGTCGGCCCGATCTTTCTACGTGCTTTACGCATATCTGTAAGTCTCTTTTAATGGGAAGCGTTATCATTATTTTTATTACTGAGCTTATCTAAGCTCATGTTAACAATATCGATATTGTCTGGATAATATTACGATCATCAGTGACGTTTGATACTCTACAACTACTTCATTTCGAAAGTAAGCGTAGAAATAAAGATGAAATAAAAATTCTCTAAATACTTCTACGTGCCCTTTTTCCTATTCCTCACGGCTTTGATAAATCCACCCTTTTCTTTGCAATCAGAGTCGCGTGAGTCAGCGTGAGCTGCCTGATTGGCCTCTAATTTTTCTGCTATACAAAAATAAAACGAGTTCTTTACACGACACATATGTAGTCCGAGAAATAACTAAAACCAAGAGGTAATTTTGGAATTAGTCATTTTCCATCTTAGCGGAATCCAGTACTGACATTTTGGACGATCCGCCAATAAACCTTGTTAACTAATTCGTCTATCTACCTCTGCAGTAGGATAGTCAGTGGCCAAAACTGATAACCCAAATCACGTCTCAGGCAAGCTAAGCAGTTGCAAGCTTGTCTCATATTCGCAATGCTAATGTGTCCTAATCCGTCCTTACACGTCCTTTTTCTCTTTTCATGTTATGCTTGCTAGGTTTATATATTACCGGAGTAAAACTTGAAAGGGAGCTCCAAGGATTTTAAAATGACACGATTTGAGTTACCTTAAGTTAGCTTCAAGGACTGGCTCATAGCATTAAAGCTTTAGTATCTAAAGTTTCTTCAAATACTGGGCCACCAAATGCCCACCGTCTTCCAATGATTGTTTGTAAATGTACCCATTATCGATCGAGCCTACCTAAAAATTTTCAAATATTATAAAATGTGAAATTTCGTCGTCACTGAAACTGTACCTGTATCGAACACAATCCGAAAGAGGCAAGCTTTTATTATCACTTAAAACCTTAAAAAAATTGGCTGGATTTAAAGTATAAGCCGAAAACAATTGCAATGTTTGGAACGGTTAATTGAGCGTGTACACAGAACATATTGAAGTAGAAAAAACCCAAAGCCAATTCAGCTCGCTGGTCAAGACGTTTTTTTGGCCGATATTTACATCCTCTCTTCATCTGTCTTCTAAATATCATACTATATATTAGTGTATTTAGCAGGCAAACAACTGACACAAATTTGCCCAGTCTTACGGTCCACCTGTCGACGCACAGTGTATCGCCTTCACTACCTCAATATATGCCCCTCAATGCATGTATTCTGCCACTGGTCGCCTCGACAAGAACAAACAGAGGTTAATACCAATATATCTGGAAGATTGTTAAAACGAAGTATTTCGAAATCAACTAACGTACCAGTATCGAATACAAGGCTGAACTCTGTGAAGGTTTATTTTTTGAATGGAGTTCGGCCAAATTTAGTAGTTGCAATTAAAAAGCACCAGAGAATCCGACTTTGGAAGATTTACAATAGATCAGATGGCAGATAGAAAGACCGGATATGAATTTAATTTGTTGATTCGCCTGTTTGTCATTTGCTTGAGCACTCGCCACTTTGTATTGAAAGATATGTTTTGACCACTTGATTTTGTAAGTACCAACGTCTGTCACTCGTATTGTGCAAAGTTATGGTAGAAGTTAATATAAGTTGTTGCTACGGAAATGAAATAACAATACATCGACTTGTAGATTCATCGGCCAATTGGACGAAGACAATCGATCGGACTGAGCTGGCAAAGAATAATTGAGAAACGATCGCCAAAGTGTAGGGTCTGATCAATCGAATCAGTGCTCGGCCCGCTCTTCAACCTGAGTTCGCGCTTCTGGCAAGGTCAGCTTGATTTTGTCGATGTTGCAGCCTTCCAGCAATCCACGGATCAGCAGAGGTCCAGCCCATAGAGATTCGTTGTTACTACTACGACCCCTGCTGTTACAGTTGCAAGTCTACGTTCAATCTCATTGCACTGCGGACCCGTAAATATACGAAAATTTTTTTTTCTGTATCAACACTTTAAATTCACTTCAACTGAATACAAGTGGGCATCTTGCCATGGAACGCTAAGCATGCCCGTTACGGTAGAAATGGGTCAAGGGGGTTTTATTGTACAGACAGCGTCGCAAGTGAAGCCCGTTGTTCCCTTTCAGTGGGCGAAAAAAATACATCAGCGTGCGCTGGGTGAAGGCCTAAGCGCACTACGTCAACGCCCGCTAAAGCTTGCGATCCCAACCTGACGAAACGCTTTTTCTAAGGCTTCAAGGAACGTACGCAGCGGAATAAATGAACCCTAATTCGGTCGATTCTGGCTACTCAGCGGGCTAGAGATGCATGGAAATGCGGCCGCAGGCCACTAGCAACGCTGGCTATTGCGGAAGGGATCCCAGTTCCTCGAGAACGCAGTGGAACTGGCAGACAGATTTTTGTCTGTAGAGTCAAAACCATTTATTAAGTCGCTCGCTAACTATTGACATACGATGTTGCTTGTCCTAACAGGTTGACGGGTGATGTACAGGGTCGTACTGACTTTTCGTGCGTGTGACTAATCTGTTAGAGACAAACATTTTTCCTAGATCAGCGTAGTACGATTTGCTTTGCGACTGCTATATTCGGGCTAGACATCAAACAATATTTACAATTTACGGAAGTGTATCTTGTTGAATAACTTACTTAACAACTATGTCTGTATGATTTCGCTACGATATTCTGCAACGCGACTAGGCGTAATCGGAAAAAATTTTGATGGGATTCTATCCACGGACGATACGCAGTATTCGAATAGTAGTCTCTATTCGAGCGGTCTCCAGCCATGTAATAGCAGTGATCACTGGCACGTCTTCACTTAACGAACGTGAGTTTTTCGGGTATCGATCAGTGGCTTTTACTGTCCACTTCTGAATAACGTGTCATTCGTTTATCGTGCAGTAGAAAAATTTCGGCTGACAATGACGAGTACACACTATTAGAATCAACTATTACACAAAAACGATGATTCAGGAACTGTATACCTTTAAAATGCGTGTTGACATATCCGTATTGCTCGAATTTTCCGTACGTCCATCCTCGAGTTTCACTGGTAACACGGAAGATACGATCGAAGCAGACATGATCTACACAGGCGCACATAGTGTTGCCTCTATTTAATTATGTGACAAAGGTCGTCACGTTTCCGACTCTTAAGACTATCTCATGAGCAACATTAGCTAGAGATGATCAATGTCTGCCTAGAAGAATAGAAGATTTACGTTATTCCAGTTGAACCGATCTATGTTCAGATAATAGGCCGCATAGAATACAGTACCTTTAAATATGATTGATGATATTAACTAAAAAAATCTATTCATTTTAACTACCACATATATTACTGTTGTGTAAAAACGGCATTACGCAACACAACAACGATAAAAAATCACAACTGTATTTTAAATTTCACTTTTCTGTTATAGGGCGTATAGGTTTATTATACGATGAGTTAAATTTCTATGTGGAAACAGAAGTAACGATCGTCGTGAAGCTAATACTTCAAAAGCACTCATTACATTAAGTGAGTAAGACTATTTAGAATCTTAAGATGATTAGTAGATTATATTGGAATATATAGAATTGGAAAATTATTTTTCAAAAAGGAAGACATTTCTCCTATTTAATTGAAAGGAAAAAGCAACGCTCAGATCGCATCAAATCATCACATTTTTTTTTTTTTTTTTTTACTACCACTCTACTCTTTATCGTCAAACGAGAGACTTAATAAAATTCTACTATTATTTTTATTTCTCTATATTTTTATTTCTATAGATATTGCACTCCGTATAAATACACACACACACTCTTATTTGTCATTACATTGTATAAAACGAGCTCTTACCAACGACATAATAATATTTAGGGTGTAAATCAGTAAATTCTCAGCGTTTGCTAGATTTCAATACATATCGTATAATCCATGAATATCTAGTTGAACCTATCTATGTGTATATATACGAGATACCCTGGCAACGTTTTTGGAGGGACACGTTGGCTGTGTGAAGACAAGACAATGATTGTTTTCAAAAATTGTATAACTGCCGTTTATTCATATCCATAGCAGAGGTAGTAGCTTTGTTGCATAGAACCCGTAAAGACAAACAGATAGGCCTGCCCAAGTGACCTTTACCCAAACATTCACCGACGGCATCTACAACTAGGCCGGTCCGCCTCTGTCAGATTGACTGTCAACGATGCTTTCGGTCCTGGGCGACGCATTCGTTCTAGAGATTGCCGTGGCAGGGGCGCCCGCTGCGATGGTAAAGCGAGCTGAACTGGCAATATGCTCAAGGTCATGAATAATCATAGGAGGCAAATCAAGCTCACTTCGAGAGGGAATCGAGTTTTTTTTAGGTCGGCCTTTTGGTCGGGTTGGCGGAATAGGGCATCCTCCTTGCATTACCTGCGAATCGTTTAGAATACAGAGAGAGAGAGAGAGAGAGAGAGAGAGAGAGAGAGAGAGAGAGAATCATCCAGGCTACCGGATCAACTGAGTCACCATAATACTTAATCGTGATTGATAATTGGTTACTGTGAATTAGTTGAAAGTAGATTTTTCTTTGTTCTTATTAGCTATGAATCATTGCTGATCGCGTCTTTGTTGGCCTTTTCTTTTAGCTGTGTCACGTCAGTTTATCTTTACCGGCATTTTTGTTAGTCAGTGAAGGTGATACTAATTTACACCACTTAGCGTAGTCGCGATAAGATGCCCTTTAATCCCACAACAGCACAACCTCCAAAAAAAGGCAATTTATTTAATAAACATCGAAGTCTTCTCAATAGAGAAAGCCAAGTCATTTAGCGTTGACAATTACTAACCTGCTTTTTCCATTTCATTCGCCGATTTTGATACCAGGTTTTCACCTGTAGCTGCGTAAGACCCAACGCTCTGGCCAGTTCAGCCCGGTCTGGTGTTGAAAGGTATTTTTGCATGTCGAACCTTCGCTCGAGTCCCATGAGCTGCACTTCGGTAAAAACGGTCCGATTTCGCCGGTTTTTGCGGAGAAGCGATGGAGACAACCTGTTTGGGTCCGAGAGATCTAGCAGCTCTTACAGTTAGAAGCACAGCGCGTGGGACAAGTTGCAGTTAGCGGCATTTTGTCGAAACGTTAACTAAGGCAATAATAGTTCTCTTAGCAACTTTCGATGTTTCACTCCATCAACTATTCGAAACGTATTTGTCAGTCAAATGTAGATCTCTATAGGTTGGCTATAAACCGAGAAAGACAACGTACTTTAGCATCAAGTTTTCTCTCAGTGGTCTGCCCAAAATGTTGGTCAGATACTTGTGATTCGTTGTTAAGTTTCTACATTTGAGATATTGCTTGCCATACGTGAACTGGTATTTCTCACCATATCTTTTATATTTAGGTATGTATGACAACAGCAGACCGCTAAATGGGATCGTTCTATGGTATTGTTCAAGACCAACTTGACTTAACTAGTGGTCAAATGATTAATTATTTTTGATAATTACTTATTCCTATTGAAGTGAATGGAGCAAAAGTAAACAGTGATTAATGAATTTCGTCATTCTTAATTACAGTTGAAGCCCAGATTTTTTGTTGACTGAAATTTTTCAGTACCAATATCTGCGCCAAAAAAAACTATTGCCTGTAACACGGGGGGCCCAAATCAAATATATTATAGACAGGATATCATATTAAGTAACAGCCGATTTTTTATTCGTGTTTGGGATTTAAGTAGCTGCTCTGTCCGAGCAGTTTTCTGTTCCGGTTTTTTGAATTTCGCACCTAAGCCTCTAGGCATTATTTCAGACGGCTGGCATCTGCCAGTACGAAACGGACCACGTGTCTGCGCGTGAATTCAAACACGTGTCGTTAAGGTTAACACGCAAATACGTTGCAGTATGTGGTAATACCAGCCAGTTTCACTTAGCGTCAGTTATTGGGAGTTATTCAAGGTGACTGGAAATAAAATTATGGTTAAATCTACGGTTGTTTACCATTGGCATACTTATAATCATTCGTGTCAACAGTTAACAGCGCTATGGGATGGTCTCAATAAACCTGGTCGAATCGGTTCATTTGAACCGCTCAGAAAATGACAAGTTTCATTGTTTTGCAATGGATGGAGCTATTAACCCTGCTCCTTGTTTCGATTTTGTGTTTTCTGATTTGACATCAAGTTAATTAATTTATTCCTTTGAATACATTTTAAGGCTGTAGCGTTTGGTACGCTTTTCTCTAAATTCTGTGTTAAACGTAATCTGCCATTGGGCTTAAGGATTTTCTTTAGTTGTTATAGTCATTTTAACTTTAGGCTCTTTCTTATGATCGCTCGTCATTGATTCGTTACAAGTAGAGAATGTAATGATTAGTGACGCTGGTCAAGAGACACTTACTGAAGATCATTCATTTTCGATGGGGTGTAGAACCCGGAAACTTATAGCAACCCGCCTCGCTCTCCCTGACCACTAGAGCCTCAGTCTAATGACCATGCATATGCCCAACTCTGATGTATCGCATTGTCCTCAACACTGACAATACGTCACAACAAAGGACGAACGTAAATATTAAGCAAGCTAAACTTCAATCGAACTATAATAGTACTGTGTTTGTGACCCTTTCGAAATAATTTTTTAAACTCTTTTCATTAGCCCATAGAGAAAGCCACGGATTTAAACACAATATCAGCTTAATTTGCCAAGTGACTCGTAACAAACGCGCTGACATTATATAGTCGCACGAAGTTAAACGTCAGCAGCACCAACCGATAGAGCTGCATGACCCCCCAGAGAAACTGAGCAGCAAAAAAGAACTACTAATAAAATGGCGAATGTTTAAGTACATAGATACACACACACACACACATACACACACGAATACATAGGCGTATGGTTTATGCTGGCTTTCATTGTCCGGCTCTTCACACAATGGTGTTGCCATTACCGCCAGTACATTAGTGACAAATCAGGGCAGCTAATGTATTCCATATTCCATGATTCGGAAATCAATTCGACGTCTTTTCAGCCATCGAAGGCCCTGCTTTCGCGTTCGGCTTTTTGTTTGATGCATTGGTCATAGATACGCACAAATAGATGGCAGAACGTTTTTCATTAACAAATGAAGGCAGTATTCAAATTTTGGCGCGTAAATGTATGTCGAGCAGACGCCGCCGCGCCGCCTTCTATACCTTCATACCAATGAAGCCGGTTCTGCCCAGCGATGCTACTGACTCTGGACAACTTGACTGGTTGCACCAGTTCGAAGCCGTATTGTTCGCTGACGATTAACGGTTGCCTGCAAATAAAGCTCGTAGACGCATTCGGTTCATTTCATTCGGCAAAGTCACGACCAAATAAAGGCCGTGAACACCTGTTTTGAACACGTCTACCGACGAAACACGACAGGAAGAGTAGCCACAATAGCAGCTGATGAACGCCGTCATTAAACGATTCTGTGGTACTATCCCTGTAAATCTGTGTGTTTATATACGTCAGCCCCTGGTGACCTATTGATAACTCCATTGAACGCCATACATTATTCAAATTGGCTGTCGATAGGAATGCGGTTAGGGATAACGAGCTACAATGCAAAGAGTAATCGGCAGTTACCTAGTTTCGGCAGGTGTTCGGTTGTTAATCAAGTTCTTTATCAGCCACTTCATTCACAGTTGATGCCGAGATCAATGTTAGGTAGAGGATGCACGAATAGGGCGAAAAAGTGCCTGGCTTAGCAGGTGCGCTGACAGTAAAAAAATTACCTCCGAGATGTAAAAGGGGACACTTCCCATAACGGTTTTTTTTATTCAACTTTTTGGTAGCATGTTTTCAACGGCGTCATCATCGTTGGTCTAACTCCCTACCCGGCTCCTGCCGTACGCCTGCTAATCGACGGATGGCTATTTATCATGTTCCAGTGACCATATCAGAAAGAAACGTACGTTATCAGCATACGAATTGAAATATATTGTTGAATATTATATCAGTTCATTATTATTCTGATTAATGAATTAATAGCTATCAGAATAAGCAACGAATTAACATTAACAACTTAAAAAAATCGACTTCTATTTCCCTCACGCGATTCCTGATCATGACAATTTGTTTTACCTATTTGATCGTCGGGAGTATCCGGGGTCGAAATGTTTTTCGATGAAATATCCATCGAAGAATTATTTTCGTTCGTATATAGACCTGAAATGAAACACGATAGATTAGAAGGACACACAGATATTCTGATACGTAGTAACACAGAAAGCTTTTTTAAGGCAATTCAAGGTTTATATTGCCTTTGCTGGAATCTCGTAATATATCCTTCAAGTTACACGAAGAAAGGACCCAACAGCTTTGTTCATCAAAAGCAAGAAGATGGCAAGCGCTTTAGTGAGAGTCAGTTCCGCTTATTATTACATGATCAGCTTGCTATTGTTTGCTTATCTTCTTCGATGCCATAATTGCATAAACAATATAAAACATAGGCACCTAAATAGGTGTAAATATAGGATACGGGTAATTCGTCGGTACCCTATAGGAGACATGTGCGAAGAATGATGTCTCATGCATCAACGAAGCACGTGTATCTTTGAACCGCTAGCGCCCTACCTGCTCGCCCGTTTTTATGATAGAATTGAAGAGTTGCTGTACGCTAGCCCAATATATCCAAAAGCGATCTTGTTTTCTCGCTTTTTGTAAACATATACAACAACCCATTAGGGGCGGCGAATTTTTGGGGATCTTCAGGGAGTGTCAGGGAGAGGAAGAGAGACGTAGACAGGGTGACGTGATCCGAAGCTTCGAAGTCGCAGCGTAAATAGAGCCAGTTCGGTGTGCTCACCCCGGACCCCCCATCAACACATATCGTAAGTCGATCGTCCGCCTCTGGCAGGAGGAAACCTCTCAGGATAGCAATAGATGCGGGGTACAGCGGCGATTCAATGAATGGACTTAATCAGCTGAAAAAACTTGCTTGAGGAGAGTGGGGGAGAGGAAAACACGGGGATAGTGGCAAGTTTTGATGGCGCACCCCAGCAAGAAGCAAAAGATATAGATAGTTGACTTGGGAAAATGCGGTGGAGTCATTGTAAAACGGAGTTCAAAAGTGAACGCGATACTGGATGTTTATGCGTGTTTGGCATGTGAGCGTTGCGACTTCATTTTAGAGTATTTAGATTGAAAAAGGAGACAAAGTGAGACTGTTTCTCCAGATCAGTGATAAACATGGAAGCGACGAGTAAAGAACAGATCTCAAAACCTTGAGCGTTTCTTTAGAGAGAACTTCAAAAAGTAGTTTTTGAGGATTTATTAGGATGATCTTGAAATTTTTCAAAAATTGCAAATTATCCTAACCAGGCTAGCTATAAATATAATTAAAAGTCTCATTCTTAATTTAATCCTTTATTTAACCCGAGTTCTATTTATAAAGTGTTGCAAACATGGACGTTGCTTATAAATATGATAGAGATTTTTGTCAGCGTACTTGTTTTCGCAGTTATAACAGGTACGTTAATAAGTATAAATTACATAATTACTCATATTTTGCTAGGACATCTAAAAAGGGGTAGGTACTAGAAACCGCACACTGAATTTGACACCAAACCCTGTTTTTTGAAAGTTTACATACACTTGGCATCATCAAAACATACATTTATTGACCCTATCTTCCGCGTCTTTGCACAACGCTACTTCGTAATCAACTACATAAGGGTCGGTGTGCTTCACTAAGCATTTTACTCAGTAAATTCAAATAATAAAACCCAATTAAACGAAGGCTTTTATAGATCTACCTTTTTATTTAGCCCTTATGTTTAACTTTTCCAATTACTCCTGCTTACTTTCTATTGTTTCATCTAATAGCTACACAATAGACCTGATCCAAAGGGTACCTCTATAAATTCGCTTATTCGTAATTACACACTGCAATCAACTTTGGATATCAACTTATTTGGATAAGCGTGTACATCGCGAGTCAACTGGGCAGAAAAAATGGGAGAAATACTCCAGACGGTAAAGTCTGTATTATTGGCATAAATTTCTATAATTCTGAACGGTAATTGTGTATTGTGATTGTGATGGCTGCATTTATATCGTCGCAGTCTGTGGGAATGATCTCGATCATAATAATAATACTAGTAAAAATGGCGGTCATAACAATGATTTAGAAGAGGTGTATATTTAGAACAAACAATATTTTTACGTCTTTTAACAGGAGGTGTTTTTACGACAAGTTGATCATTCGTTGTATAATTTAATCGACTGCGCCATGTCACGCCTCAGATAGTTAAGAGTACAAAAGGATTGTTTTGTTACACGGTATGATAGCGATGACGACGACGACGCTTACTTTTTTTTTTTTCGTAATAGTAGCGTCAGTAAAACTATCTTATGAGACCAATATTCTATAAATGTCCTGTATCTGACCCTTTTTTTTTAGAAAATACATATTGTATAGAAAATAACTTTCAATAGTAAATTCATCTTCACAGTATCCGCTAAAGTGTGGGCTACATGACACTCAGATCTGTTTGCAATAGGTTACGCCACTGAGCTAACCTTGCAGGCATTTTTGTGTAATTAAGAAATCCAGTAAAGGACATGGGATATAAGAAGGTTTACCCTAACACTATACCAGAGAATAAATCATGTTGAAACTGACCTATTTGCTATACCTGGGCATAAATGCGCCCCCTTCATAGCTATTGAAAATTCTTCAACAATATTGTTAAAAATCTGTCATATTCTGTTCGCTATGCAAAGTTTGATAGCTTTTTTTGTACATTACAATACAAGCAAGTTTGCATCTCGTTGCTTTTTATCGAAAAACCTCCCCAGGATTATTTTATGCTGTAACAGAAATTCGATGCACCAGAAACACTGTCCTTAAAATCGAGCTGTTCAGAGTCTAACGCCAGCTTGACATATTAACGATGAGCAAGGTGGTCGATGATGAAATGAGACATCGCACGCATATCATCAATAGTGATCGCTGGCTGACTGGTTGGCTGGCTGGTGGAGCTCGCACGATCGAATCGATAACTGAGCTCGCGTGTTGACCCACAGTATCGATTAGAAGCAGGCAGAATCGCCGAAATGTTGAAAAACTTAAGAGGTGCTTGCAGCTACGATGGGGCGGAACCTAATATTTGCTAGGTGGCGCTGTTAGACGATTTCAAAATTTCAAAATAGTGCTTGCATAGTAGTAAACTAAATAGGGATCCAAAGTATTGATTTCAGTTTAGCAAAGAAGAAAACTGATTGATCGTCGTCGATTGGAGTTTTCAGTGGTAATAAGTCGTATCCTACTATCCTATTCTGCAAGGATAAAAGGCATGTTAATCTAAACTATAACCGTTGAATATTGACATACTTCTGTATGTTAAAGGTATGTAAATTAATATAAAAGCGTCATACGCGTATCAAAACAGATTTATAGCTGTCGAAGAAGCAAAACTTTAGCTATATATATATATATATATAATTGAAACTTCATAC